CTCCTGCTACACTGTCAGTGCCGGAAATGTTCGTGGAATTGAATTTGCTGAAGTGGTGCTGGCATCCGGATGCTAGCATGCAGTGTGTTGTCACGGTAAGGCAGGAAGGATGGAAAGAGCGCCTACCCCCGGGGCTGTGTCCTAGTTGGGGAGCCCCTAGAACTGGACCCCGAGACAAGGATTCACGTGCAAGCAGCTTATCTGGGAGGCAGAAGAAAACACCAAACACCGGCAGGGGTCTGGAGAAGTGAGAGGAAAGAGGCAGGATATCTGTGTGAGCCGGCTGTCAGTGTGAGCAGCTGGAGTTTACCTCACTGAAGGAGCTCTGGGGCCTGTGCAGGACACACGCCAGAGGGAGGAGGGTGCCGGGGCACATACATGACAAGCCCCATCAATCTTTGGGTGTGCTCATTCCCCAGACGACTGGGCCTTTTGTGTGAGGGGCATAACAGACTCCAGCAGGAAGAGAAGGCTCTCAAGCAAAATGCAGATGCTGGCAGTTGAAGTCAGACAGGGCAGTGGGCCTCAAACCTGAGCGTGCATCAGAATCACGCAGAGGGCTCGTTAAAATGCAGGTCACTGGGTCCCACTCCCATAGTTCAGCAGGCCTGGAGAGAGGCCCAAGAATTTGCATCTCTAACAAGCTCCCAGGTGAGGCCACTGCTGCTGGTTTAGAAGCACCTGGAAACCACTGGGTTTGGGATGTGGGCCCAACGCGGTTGGTACAGACTGGATACTTGGGGGAAATCTAAAATCTAGGGTCAGGCAGAGCTTAAAGAAGGAAACCAGAATGTCACCACAAAATATGTCTCTTAAACATAAAAATTATTTTGAACTGGAGGTAACAGAAACAACAGCTACAAGAAAAGTTCCCTCCTCTCCTCCAATTTGCAAGACATAAATTTTCAGTTGCAGTCCAGAGATGGAAGACGCTGACGATGCCTCGCCGTACTAGCAGTCAGCGGCTGTGCATCGCTGCAGGTTGCCCAGGACCAAACCAGAGAGGGTCGGACGTGCATCACCACCATTTGTCCACTATCCAGAACTGAAATACCATGGCTGACATGTACACACAAGGAACTGTTTGACATAGAAATTGGGACTCAAAAGAACTGTTGGTCCAGAAAGGAACTCACTACAGACTGATTCATATGCCTCCCAGCATAACCATTATGGCTTGTCTCATGGTTCTTATAAGTGCATTTCTTGTATCACATGATCTCACTCATCTACCGTGTTTCCCTGAAAATAAAACATCCTCCGAAAATAAGACCTACTTACAGGTTTCCTTCTGAGTGAAATATAAGGCATCCCCCCGAAAATAAGGCCTATCTCCAGACTCTTGATATTGCAATAAACAAGCCATTCAAAGACAATTTGCGCATGGAAATTAATGACTACATTGAAAATAGAATGGAGAGAAATCAGCGTGGAAACTTTGTGAAACATGACAAAGCCACATCCCCACAATTCCATTGTGAGACCTCGGTCACTGCCGCAGAAGCCAAGGTGTTAGGCCTCAGACCACTGCCGGTATCTGGACCCCCCGTTCAGGACGCCAGTCACTAGGGAATGCTGAGGTCAACCCCTTAGGAGACACTGTAATTAGCTGCAGGCCAGAGCTGAACAGCAAAGGAAAGAAAAGCTTCTCCCCTTGCAATTCGGAACATCTTCCCCATTTTCCCAATGGGTTGCCAAGTGACTCAGCATTGGCCCGTGTGGGCACTATAATTGATGAGAAATCTTCCACTTGGGTGATATACTGCATACAATACATGCCTAAAGAACAGTGCCAAGTCATACCAGGAAGAGCAGGAGAATTTTTCACCTTCACTTCCAATGGAGGCAAATCCTGTCCTAATGCAGGGGCTACTTTAGTATCAGAAAGACAAAGCCCTGAGATTGTCAGAGAGTTCCTTCTAAGATTCAAGGAATTATTAGGTTGAGCCTCTCCTTGCTTGTTGACTATTAAAAGGCAATCAAATGGAGGACAGCAGAGAAAAAGGGCAAGGAAAAAAAGAATTTTTCAAAAACAACCCCAGAGCAGAAAAGCTGCAGAAAAGCCTTCAACTGTCTAAATGCTGTCTTTGTGAGTACTACGAGCTCCACCCAGAGGTCGTTTCTAGAACTGCATGTTCATTGAATTCGGGGGGGGGGGGGGGGGGGGGAATCTCCATCTCCTGGGGTCCAGGGCCTGACCTGCCTTTGAGAACTGTTGCAAATTCTTGGACCACATTCCCTCTTTCTTGCCTTTCATTAAAGGAGCTTCTCTGAACTCTGAAATACAGCTATACTCAGGGAACCGGATGAGATCCAGTAGAACAACTGCCTTTTATATCTGCACTCCTGCCAGGTTGAACTCAGCTCAAAGACAGCCTGGAGTGTTCAAAGAATACAACAGGTCCTCAGATAACATTGTTTCACTCACCATCGTTTTGTTATCACATTGATGAGGTACCATAGGAACTTAACTCTTGTTGATATCAATTAACCTATAGTAAAGCTGGTTTCATTATATGTCATATCATTTAAAGCTGTAGCACCAATTGATGACCTTAATTGGGGACTTACTGTACCGTTAGAAGAAAAACTGAAGAGTGAAGAGCAACTCAGGGGGGCCATCAGGAGCATGCCTAATATTAAGATTTGGAATAATCCTCCTTAGAGAACCAATTGACCATCTGCCTATAAGGCCTAAAGGTAAGGCATCCACTCCCGTATGCAATCAGAAGATCTCTGTGCGGCAATCACCATCCGTACTTCCCAAAGAACTGACTGCAGAACCCAGAACATTCACCTAGTACCCATCCATTCATAAGAGGCACACGCCCCTCACCACACTACCCATCCTCCACACTGGTGGCCCTTAGTCCAAAAGAGGTCCGGCTCAGATCAAGAGCCCACAATGCACTGAGCTGTCATCTACCCAGTAGAAAAAAACAAAAACATCCTATTCCAGATAGCACAAGCTATCCCTACGAATAAATGAAGCCTTAAAAAACACACAGTGTGTTGGTGCTGAAAGTTGCATCTACCATCTGGAAAGCTTCTCCTCACAGCCTGCATGCTCCTGTCTTCATCAGCTTGCGCCTTGCAGGGCTTAAGACAGCTTTGACAGATTCTGAAGGTGGGAAAAAACCAAACTTGCCCTTTGTCTTCCTCCAACACCCCCAACCCCTGCTGTCCAATTCTTTCTTCACTGTAAACACTGAACAGCCTTTTCCTGTCTATTGACAAAAATATCTGTGGCAATGTTTATCCAGCTCAGGAGCATTTGAGCTCTAGGAAATATCCTTGCTAAACCTCTGCATACTCTCATTTCAGCAAGGCTAAGCTTTCCCAGAATGCTGCCCTTTTTTTAATGGACTTTTAGTTTTTTAGAGCAGACTTAGGTTCACAGCAAAATTGAATAGAAAGTTCGCAGATTTCCCACACAGCCTCTGCCCTCACACCTGCATAGCTGCCCCATTAACAACATCTGCATCAGAGGGGTACATTTCTTACCCTCACTGAACCCACACTGACATATCATCATCACCCAGAGGCCATAGGTTACATTGGGATTCACAGAATGTTGTACATTCTATGAGTGTGGACAAATGGATCATGACATGTGTTTACCATTACAGTATCATACAGAGCAGTTTCACTGCTCTAAGAATCCTCTCCCTCTTTGTTTCTTGACCACACGGCAAAAATATCTGTGCACAGCGTGCCTCAATATGACTCTAAGCGGTATTCCTTGGGCCTGCCTAGTGATAAGAATCACCAGGCTGGCCAAAACTGGTTTGGCTCAGTGGTAGAGCGTCGGTCTGCGGGCACATCCCCAGTCCTGGGTTCGATTCCGGTCAGAGGCATGTGCCTGGGTTGCGGGCACATCCCCAGTAGGGGGTGTGCAAGAGGCAGCTGGTTGATGTTTCTCTCTCATCAACGTTTCTAGCTCTCTATATCTCTCCCTTCCTCCCTGTAAAAAATCAATAAAATATATTAAAAAAGAATCACCGGACTGACTGATTAGCACAAATGTTCAGACTGCACCCTCCATTCACTGAGTCAGATCTTGTTGGGGAGGGGCTCAGAAAGCTATAGACTCTCCTCTTGCATAGTATAGAGATTCCAGATACCCCACGTGATTGCTATCATCAGAAAAGTCTCAAAAATACACCTCTAAAGAAAAGGTGCTGCTAATCTCAGTTTCCCAGCTGCACAGCAGCATCTGTTAAGAAGGTAGCATGTATTGCCTACCCACTTGAGTTCCATCCAGCTCCATCAGAATACCTAGAATTCAAGGTGGGTCCCATCCTTTATTTTCAAAAGCATGGTTGCTAATACTTTTCTCATTTCTTCCCTTCTCTTGTTGCACAGTACCGGAAACTTTTACAAGGCCTAGCAAGTGTCCACTCCTATTGGGAAATATTTTTTCTATTCCTCCACAATGGTCAACCACTGGTCTACAGTTTGCGTGCGTGCGAGGAGGATCATTTGTGCAAAAGGATGGGTTGGAAAGTAACTCTGCTAGGTTACAGGAAAGGATTCGCCTGAGGACATTAGCACACATCATGCCCGAACAGAAGGACACATGGCCAATATGGATTTCTCTCTTTTGTGCCTTGAGGGCTCTTCTGCCAACTGCTCCCTGAGGCTCCCCACTGCTCTGCATTCTGCCACAGCCAATGATGGTTTATGGCAAAAAATTCGCTGGGCAGCAAGCCATGTGTCTCTTGCAGACGGTAATTAGGAGGAGAGAAAGAAGGGCTGAATTACAAGGTGTTTAAAAATGTAGTTCAAAAAAAAGAAAAAGTCATCTTATTTTCTCTTACCTGCTGGTGATGAGATCTATGTATTCATCCCAAAAGAGACACCCATCTTTAGGGTCATTCGGAGTCAACAGCTCAGTCAATACAAAAATCAACTACGTAATGTTGAGCATAAAAATCCCTTAAACCAAGAGTCAGGGTTTGGTTTCCTTCTTATTTTCCTTCATAAACTGGAATCCTTACCTTTTCTTTGGCTTTCTTTTTGGTTCCTGCGTCCATCCACTCATTTTCCTTCTCCAGCATGTCAATAAAGGCCCAGCGAACACCCTCAATCAATTCTTCCATCTACAAAAAAAAAAAAAATACCTGAAGGTGCAGATAAAAAATCAAGAAGCTTCAGACCATGTTTTCTAGGCCAGTGGTCGGCAAACTCATTAGTCAACAGAGCCAAATATCAACAGTACAACGATTGAAATTTCTTTTGAGAGCCAACTTTTTTAAACTTAAACTTTTTCTAACGCCACTTCTTCAAAATAGACTTGCCCAGGCCGTGGTATTTTGTGGAAGAGCCACACTCAAGGGGCCAAAGAGCCGCAGTTTGCTGACCACGGTTCTAGGCCATGAGAAAGTTCAGTGCTAAACATGGTGGGAAAGATGCTCCTTTCAGCTTGACTCTATGCTCTAGCAACATTATCTTTCCTATAAAAAAAATATTTTCCCTCCACTGCTAGAGATAATTAACCATTTTTTTCCATGAAAACAATTATTAGCCCATCCTTATCAAGGTAGCAACTAAGTTCAATAGTTGGGGTTTGAGAGAGAGAAGCAAAGGCCTGGGCTGTATTTCAGACAGGTATTACAGAATAAAGTGAGTGAACAGTTGAAAGAGACAGTGTTAACAAAGAAGCAGGCAGGGAAAACTAGCACCCCAAAGTATACACTCTAATATAAATCACACTTATGTCAGAACCCCAGTTCTTTCCAAATTTAGTGCCAGTGGTTAAACCAAATGTTTGGCTCTTCTCTGTTGTCTTCCTACTCTCCTCTCTACTCCCTTTCAGCTCAAAAAATGATCTTATGTTATTTCAAATCTCAAATGGTAGGTTTAAGGGATGGGTGCTACTGAGATACCTGTCCCAAAGTGTTTCATCTGTGAGACCACACCCATGTTCCTGACGTGTTTGCCCTGGCTTTTCTTCCTGTATGTGACTGTGCAACAGCAGAGGGGACTGGGGGAGCGAGATGCTAACACTTAACTTCAGAGGCCCTGCCTGTTTATGGATGTATACTTCTCAAAATCCCATTCTCCTTCTGAGATGCTCCAATTTTCTCAATGGGAGACTCAAGAAAGAATACATACTGGGTTTAGCACCAGAATTAAATTTTTCATTTGATATTATGGGGTTGTAAATCCATTTTTAGAATTAATTCTAGAAGGGAAAAAGTTTAGATATTCCCTTGGTTCTATAATAAATTGTCAGCACAAAGCTCAAAACAATTTTTTCTGTTTAATAAGTTTTCAGCTATGTTTTCAGTTCAATAACAGTTGTAAGGGAACCAGAGCTGTAAATCAGTGGGCTGGGTTCCATCGTATGTAAATAAGAACAAATAGCAGATGGAAAAGGGAGGGGGGAACTTCACAGCTATTTCTTCCCAACTTGGTAAAAACATTAAAAGGGAAATCTCAACTTGGGATTGGGACATGATAAAAACATGAAATGACAGAAGAGTAAAGACCCTTTTAAAACTACTAAGTCACTGATTCTCAATCTCGTCTGCACACAGGGATCATTAGAGGTAGCTTTAAATAGTCCTGAGGCCTGAGCATCAGGATTCTGATGGCATTGGTCTGTCAGGGCAAAGCCTGGGTGTGGGAGTTTTAAAATCTCCTAGGTGATTGTGCACACAGGGTGGCGATGCAGTGTGCTGGGGAAAACCACTTATCTATATATATATATATATATATATGAAGACCCAGGGTCCATTACCACCAAGGTTCAACTGAACACTGATGCACTGGTGCCAGTGCAGCAACCCAGCACTGACTGCCAAAGGGGCCATAGATCAGGCCCAGAGAGAGGCCTGCACAGAGATAGGCAGGGTCTGATCCTCAGCCTCCATGGCAGCTATTGATCAGATGTTGCCTCTCTCTTTCTCTCCTGGCTTCACCAGCAGCAATGCCCCTAAAACGGCAGTCAAACATCCCCCAAGGGGTCCCAAATTGGAGAGGGTGCAGGCTGGGCTGAGGGGACTCCCCCCGTGCACAAATTTTGTGCACCTGACCCCTGGTTTTACAGATACAGAAATAAAAGTCAAAGCAGTCCATAGTTCCAGCTCTTACAGCTAGTGAGGGTCAGAGCCAGGACCTCACCACAGTGCTAAATGACTGTCATGAGCTCAGAATTCCCAGAGGTGTCCCTAACACATTGAGGAAAATGCTAGGGAAATAGAAGGGAACAACAGAGAGATGCATAAGCGAACATTTCAAACAGAAAGCGAATATTTAACACGCAAGGATGGTGTTAAAACAAAAAGGAAGTCTCCAGGGACTGGATCTTTCGCTTGTGCAGCTACCAGCACCCCTTAGTCTTTATGACCTCGTCATGCAGCAACTCACAGCATCCAGTCCATCGCCTTCAAAAAAGAGAAAAGCAGTGTCTTCCCAAACTAGAGAGGGCAATCAGGATGGAGAGAAGTGAATGGATTGACCTGAGAGGGGTTCAGTGATCAAATTAATGGAAATGAGTGATTAATTTGTATGTGGAAAGGTGATGAAAGTGGGGAGATCAGATTAATTCCCAGATTTCAGGTGGGGGCAACTAAGTGGATCCTGCTGCCATTTTCTAAGACTGGAAAGAGAACAGGCTGGAGACAGAAGCCATACATCAGTGGGAAGAAGAGGGCATGAGAAGAGAAGACAGGAAGTTGGAGAGAAAGCAAAGACAGAGTAGGAGTGGTTGTAGGGTTCAGAGAGGAGTCTGTGGGTTTGGGGTTTGGGCTGTATGCATGTTTGTTAGTGCTGCTGCTGCTATGTGGTTGTTGACCATATGAGAGATTTGACCAAATGGCAATGGGAAACTCAACAATAAAAATTTTTTTTAAAAAAAACTGATTTTAAAATGGACCAAAGACACCTCACCAAAGAAGACATACAGTTGGAAAATAAGCCTATGCAAAGATGCTCCACATCACGTCATCAGAAAAATGCAAACTGAAACAACAATGAGATACCACAATACACCTACTGGAATCCACAACACTGGCAGCACCAAATGCTGGCGAGAATGTAAAGTTAATGAGGATACAAATGGTATATTCACTTTGGAAGACAGTTTGACAATTTCTTACAAAACTAAACTCTTACTATAGGATGCAGCAATCGTGCTCCTTGGTATTTACCTAAAGGAATGAAAAATTTCTGCCCACACAGAACCTGCATATAGATGTTTATAGCAACTTTTATTTATAATTGCTGAAATTTGGAAGAACCAAGATGTCCTTCAGTGGGTATTGAATGAATAAACTGAGGTATAGCCACACAATGGAGTATTGTTCAGTACTAAAAATAAATGGCTCCATGGCCCAGTTGGTTGGAACATGGTTTCGGGTTCAATTCCTGGCTAGGGGACATACCCAGGTTGTGGGTTTGATCTCCAGTCAGGTGTGTTAGGGAGGCAACCATTCCACGTTTCTCTTTTGCATGGTGTCTGTCTCTTTATTTTTTTTTTCTTTCCCTTCCTCTCTCTCTAAAAATCAATGAAAACATATCTTTGTGTGAGGATTTTAAAAAATAAATATGCATATAAATTCTTTGGTTGATCTCTTCCCTCCCCCCTTCCCTTTGAGAATCCTCAGTCTGTTATACGCTTCCAGGTCCCTCCATCTATTTTGTCAGTTCAATGGGGGGAGGAGTGAAGGGGAACATCTGTAATACATCTGTAATACTTCCAACAATAAAGATAAATTTTAAAAATTAAAAAAATACAAAAGTTATATAAAAAGAAGTGAACTATCACATGATAAGAAAACATGAAAGGGCCTCAAATGCATATCACTAAGTGAAAGAAACCAATCTGAAGAGGCTACATATTGTATGATTCCAACCATATGACATTCTGGAAAAGGCACAACGATAGAGATAATTTTTAAAAATCAGTGGTTCCCAAGGTTGGGGGTGGGGAGAGAAAATGAATAGGCAGAGCACAAAGAATTTTAAGGCAGTAAAGATATTCTGTCTGATATTATAATTACAGATATATGTCATTATACTTTTATCCAAACTCATACAATGTACAACACCAAGAGTGAACCCGAGGTAAGCTATGGACTTTGAGTGACTAAGATGTAGCAATGCATCTTTGGTAAACAAATGTACCTCTGTTAAGTGATGTTGATAATGGTAGACTGCATGTGTGGGGTCAGAGGGTATATGAGAAATGTCTGCACATTGCTCTCAATTTTATTGTAAATCTAAAACACTCTAAAAAACTGTCTTTTTTTTAAATTGGAAAAAAAGATGCTGATTTGACCCAGTGAGGAGGAAAACACTGAAAATATGGGAGTGAAAAAAGACGTGAATAAACCATGAGAGGGTAAAAGGAAACGGTGTCCAAAGAATACAGATGCCCCTTAAACAACATAGGTTTGGATTGACATGGTCCTCTCATATGTGGGTTTTTAAATGCCATTCCTGGGCATTATAATGATTATCAAATTAACTATCATTTTGAGCATTTTGCATAAGTTTTCAAAGCTCTCTGTACACTGCTGTCTGGCGTGCCAAATGTAAATACAAATTGAGGCAAAAAAAAAAATGTCAGCCTATTGCCAGGATGAAGAGTTATAAACAGCTGACTCATATGCAGCTTCCTTCTACCTCTTCCTTTCCTTCTTGCCCCTCTCCCCGCTCCCATCCCCCACCCCACACCCATGTCTTCCCTAAATATCCATTCTTTGGTAACTCAACATCTTTGTGGCCCTCTCATGGATGTCAAAACCCAAATAGTGATCACTTCCCTCTTTGCTTTTCCATGAGCCTCAATACTCCCTGCCCTAGTCCTCTCAGGCACTACTCCCCCTCGCCCCAGGTCCCATCACAGGTTCTCAACTTTACAGACTTATTATACGATATTTCTGTGAAATGGAGCTGAACTACCCCAGCAGACTTCAAGAACGAGGAAAATCTTTGAAGCTGATTAAGGTCATTAGTTGGCATGTCAATACAAATAAGAGAAATAATGATTCCAGCATGCTGGAACTACAAAGATAAATCCACTGAACACTTGTGATTTTTATCTTTAAACTACTCTGCAGCATCACATAATAATATCACCTTCAGTCAAGTC